TCAGCCACCCCCCCTCCCTGCTAGGAACACCAGGAGAGGGCGGGGCCGTGACGTCTCGTGTTCCAGCTCCCGTTCCGCCCCTCACAGACTTCTACAGCATCTGGAGGGAGCAGGGCTTACTGACAGATATTTGGCTGGAGAAAACTTTGCGCAGGGGTTACGCACTGCAATTTTTCCGAAAGCCACCACCATTCCGAGGCGTACGAGCAGTACGCTCTCAGGTACGGGGATCGATAGAGGCACTACAAGCGGAGGTCTCCTCTCTGCTGAGTCGAGGCGCAGCAGTGGAGGTAGACCCGCAGGACGCCACCAGGGGGCTGTACTCCCCTTACTTCTTAGTGCCAAAGAAGTCAGGCGGGGTGCGTCCCATTCTGGATCTGCGCGTGTTAAACGAGTGCATTTCCAAACGGCAGTTTCGGATGCTGTCTACATGGCAGCTCCTCGAGTGTGTCAGGGAGGGAGACTGGATGACATCCATAGACCTGACAGATGCGTACTTCCACGTGCCCATAGTGCCAGAACACAGGAGGTTTCTGCGCTTCGCAGTGGGAGAGAGGATTTACGAGTACTGCCGTCTACCCTGCGTGCGTGTGGCCGTGAGCCACACGCACTGGGTCCTGTCCCACATACAGCGTCTGGGCTTTGTGGTGAACAGGGAGAAGAGCAAGCTGCAGCCAGCCCAACGAATGATTTATCTCGGCCTGCAGCTAGACTCTGTGACATTCCGTGCTGCATTGTCCGTGGACAGACGGATGAATATTACCCGTCTGGCCCGGGAGGTTCTGGCGGGCCCCAGAGTCCCCGCTCGGCGCCTCAGGTCCCTGCTGGGAATGATGGCGGCGGCTCATGCTGTGGTGCGGCTAGGCCTGCTCTACATGAGAAATTTTCAGAGGTGGTTCTCGCGCCTCAGGCTTCACCCCTCCCGGGACGGGGGGAGGCTGATCTGGGTTCCCCAAGTGGCAGCTTCGGACATCAGGTTCTGGCTCACTCCGGGTCTATTGCGGGACGGAGTGACTCTAGCCTGCGCCGTGTCTCACGTGGAGGTGTTCACGGACGCGTCGCTCGAAGGATGGGGCGGGGTCCTCGGCCAGAGCTCTGTAGGAGGCTGCTGGTCGGACTCAACCCGTCACATAAACCTGCTGGAGATGGAGGCAGTACACAGAGTACTGCTGCACTTTGCTCCTCAGCTGCAGGGGAGACACGTGATGGTTCGCTCAGACAACACCACAGTGGTCTCCTATCTGAACAGGTAGGGGGGCACCAGGTCCCCCGCTCTCCATCGCATGGCGACAGTGACGCTGCTGTGGGCGGCGCTTCACCTCCTGTCTCTCAGGGCGCGCCACGTCCCGGGGGTCCGGAACGTGGGGGCCGACAGGATGTCCAGGGGGGGCCCGCTCCAGGACGAGTGGGGCCTGGCCCCGCGGGTAGCTGCGGAGATCTGGCGGAGGTTCGGCCGTCCAGTGGTCGACCTTTTTGGCAGTGCAGAGAACGCACAGTGCCCGTCCTGGTTCGCCTTAAGGGCCGCGGACGAGCCGCCCTTAGGCGTGGACGCTCTGGCTCATTACCCCTGGCCAGGCGGCCTGCTGTACGCTTTCCCACCGGTGCGTCTCCTGCCGGTCCTGCTGCGGAGGATCGAACAGGAGAGGAGGTCGGTGATCCTAGTGGCTCCGGACAGTCCGCATGCCCGGTGGTTCCCCTTCCTGAGGGGCATGGCGGTGATGGAGCCCTGGGCCCTCCCGGACGAGCCGGGGGCTCTAGTCCAGGGGGGAGGAGCCCTGTTTTCACGCCCGATAATCGGCCGCAGGCTCCGGGTTTGGAGGCTGAGAGGCGGAGCCTCGTAGACCTGGGTCTTCCCCCTGCGGTGGTGGAGACCATTCAGGGAGCGAGGGCGCCGTCCACTGTGAGGGCCTACGCCACGAGGTGGAGGCTATTCAGTGTCTGGTGCGATTCCCGATCCTGGGATCCCAGGTGTTGCCCGCTGGAGGGGGTCCTGGGATTCCTACAGGAGCTCTTCGACAAGGGGAGGGCTGTCGCTACCTTGGCGGTGTTCGCGGCAGCCATTACTTCGGGTCACGACGGATTCGGGGGGTTCACAGCCCGTTCTCATCCGTTGGTTAAACGTTTTCTGCGGGGGGCGCGCAGGAGGAGGCCCCCGCTCCAGAGAACGCCTCCGATTTGGGACCTCAGGGTGGTCCTTAGGGGGCTGTCGGGTCCGCCTTTTGAACCGGCGGCGGAGGCGAGTCCCGAGTGTATCGCCTTTAAGACGGCCCTCTTGCTGGCGTTGGCGTCTGCTAAGAGGGCGGGCGATTTGTGTGCGCTCTCCGTCCATGCGTCTTGCCTGTCCTTTGGAGAGGACGACGGCATGGTGGAATTGTGGCCCAATCCGGCTTTTCTCCCCAAGGTCATCACGTCGGCCTTTAGGTCGAGAGTCATCAGGATTAGGGCTTTCCATCCGCCGCCGCATGCCTCCCCCGAGGAGGAGCGGCAGCACCTTCTGTGTCCTGTCAGAATGCTGAGGCATTACCTGGCCATGACGTCGTCATTCAGGTTGGGTGGTCAGCTGTTTGTGTGTCTGGGCCCCAAGAACAGGGGCGCCCCGCTGTCGGCTCAGCGGCTGGCGCATTGGGTCGCCACGGCTGTGCGGCGGGCGTATCAATCGCAGGGTCTGGCCCCCCCGGTGGGTTTCAGGTCGCATTCCACGCGTGGGATGGCGGCCTCTACGGCCCTTCTCAGGGGGGCGTCGGTCGAGGACGTCTGCCGTGCGGCTTCTTGGGCGTCGTCCTCCTCTTTCGTCCGGTCTTATCTTTCGGATGTGTCGGACCGGTCGGTGGCCCATTCCGTGCTGAGTGCAGCGGACTGAGTTAGACCGTTGGGTCCCTCCCCTGAGGGGGCCTTCGGTTTATTTCCGCCCTGGTGCAGGAGCTCTTGGGAGAGGCATCCTACAGGTGCGGTACATTTTTGTGTGTTTGGTCGGTCTGGTAGTCCACGTCAGGAGCTCTTGGGAGAGGCGTCCTGTGACTACGGATGACCTACGGCTTGTGTTACGTGGGGGTATCCTTGGTAGGAGTGGCCCCGTAACACGCTTGTTTCTTCTGCCCATCAGGCCAGCCCGGCTTGGCAGAGTTCAAGAGGGGGTGCGGCCTTGTGCAGGGGCATTTATAGAGGAAGGTGGCTGGTGATTGGAGCAAATTATTTTGATCTCTCTGGCGTGTGACCTGGGGGTCACGAGTGATATCCCACTAGCGAAGTCCTAAGGGACTACGCACCTATTCGTAGAACTTAAGTTACATTAAGTAACTATTAATTATTCCCTCAAACAACCTGGAGGATGTGTCTATGGAGAGAGAAATCTGGAGAGATTCAGACGAGGAAAGTAATTTCTGTTTGTACCACTACTCCGCACTATTTCCCCCCTCAATTATTACGGAAAATTGTTCATTAAAGGTCCCAGATTGCGCCCTCTTCACAGCACATATGTGATAATAAAAAAAAAACGTAATTAGGGAGCTTTAAGCCATTTGCACAAAGCACAGAATTAGATTGGATAAACCATCAACAAACTCCTTACCCTGCTATAAAATTAAGAATCCCAGTTTAAACCAACCAATCACTGCTGACGTTAAAATTGAAAATCAAAGTGAGGTCCCCCTAGCACTTTCGCTTTTATTCGTGCCCATGTGCGCTTCCAACGTGACCCACTTTTGACCCAAACTTCCGCAGTCGTGTCAGCTCCAGACTTTACACATGTCAATCAAACCTGTCCCATCCACACTCGACTTGGTGGACTTTATTCCCACACCCTCGTAAATCGACGCAGTGCGGGCTTACACACTTCAATCTCCAAATAATAAACCCACTCCAAGAGAAATAACAAAAGACATCTTCATGACGAACCAGGAAAATAGCTCTGCTCCATCTGTCACTCAAACTGTAAGGCGCTTTTAACTAACGAGAAAGGTTTGAGCGGTAAAGTAAGCAACACAAAAAATAATTTGGAGAGGACCGGAGATGAGGCGTGTTATGCTGCTTTTGGCTCAATTTGCGAAAAGTGAAGTATCCAGAAATTGAAGGAAATTGAATGTGCTTTATTGTGGGTGGATTACATCTAAAAGTATCCCCAAAGTGGCCAAGTCATCAGCCACCTCAGCCGCTCCATATCTGCTATTGTAGGCCAATACTTTGGGGATAATAAGAGACCACTATGTCACAAAGATTCATCTTGTCTTCTTAGTAGAATTAAATGTATTGAGTTCTTCTATACCAGACAATATAAGGTTTTGTGATGTTATTACCTTGACATGTTTCGACGGATACTTCGGTCTTCCTCAGAAAAGGTGTACTATGTGGTTTACCAGGCTGACACGGCCCTCTACGTGCCCTCCTGGGCTGACCTCGCCCTTTGGGGCTGACTGCAGTCTCTGGGGCTGACTGCGCCCTCTGGGTAAACCACATAGGTTGGCTGCGTCATGTGTGACGTTGCGAAGGCAAGACTTAGACCAATGTGTTCTCAGAACAAGTTAAGACTGAGACCACCGAGACCCAAGATCACTGAGACCAATAACCGAGACCACTGAGACCCAAGACAAAGTCAAGAGCAAGACTATTGGGGGTCAAGATTAGGGCTGTATATCTTTCTGTTTGCAGATTTTATACATAGAAAATAAATAATGGCTTTTGGGATTATCCTGCTTTATTGTACATGCATCAGTAGTTTCAATATGATCATTTATCACAATTAGCTATCAATGACCTTACCATAAGCCTTACGTACTTTTGCCACCTAAAGCCCTACAGAAAATATAGGCTGCAGTGACAACCCCAGTGTTTTAACACAGTTTAAATGTCCTCCAGACTGCGCCTCTGCTGCCAGTGCCAACCTGCACTCTCTAAACACCACTCCTATGGCGGTTATCAGTTATTTGTCGGCCGTTGGAGATCAAAAGCACGGGTGAGATGGGGGGGGACGCTTGCCCGCCACCTGTCCCAACATATGGCCCTACCTCCGGGGTGAAGTCAGGGTTGCCGGTGGTTAGACTGGACACTATCCAGATGTAACCAGCTCCAACCAGGCCCAGAGAGCGGGCCTCCTCCAAAATGTACCTGCACAGAAGAGTGAAGAGCTGGTTTAAAACAGACATATTTGACTCAATTTACACCTGTTGTGGATTAAGAGATTGTTACTAAGACATGCTTTTAGAGTTGGTCTACATTATGGTAGGGTGATATTTTTCAATTGCACATCTTTGTGATGAAAAGAAAACTACCGGTAATTTCTGCGTGCGATGAATATCTAAATAGTGAACATTTAAACTATCAAAATTAAAACTCATGAGAAGGAGCAATGTGAGTCAATATGTATGAAACAGGGTCTGAGAACGAGAGATGATACCCACTTGAAATTTCTGTATGTAAGTAAGTAAGTAAGTAAGTAATCTTTATTTATATACCGCCTTTTACAGACCAGAGTCACAAAGCGGTTTACAATTGTTATTATTTTTGGGCATTGGTCCTCTCACTCCACACAGAGATGGGAGTGGGGGTCGCCAGTACAGGAGGCGCATGCCAGACCTATTGTGCATGTTTTTAGTGGTAGGGGAAACCGGAGGACCCGGAGGAAACCTACGCAGACACGGGGAGAACATGCAAACTCCACTCAAAAAGGCCCTGGTCCGGCCGGGATTCGAACCCAGGACCTTCTTGCTGAGAGGCGAGAGTGCTATCCACTCTGCCACCGTGCCGCCCCGCACGGTGGCAGAGTGTAAAATGTATTACATATATTTACATATGCATTTACAAATGCATATGTAAATATGCAGAAGCCAACAAAACACCTATGTTAATTCGGGCTGCGAATAATGAAATCCTTTCAAAAAGAAAAAAACCCCCATCAAACTGGCCTTCATATTTTAGGTAAACAAACATATCGTGCCATTGATAATGCCAAAACAAGATGATACAGATAAGACCTCTAACAATGTTTTATCATGTGTTAATGTAACTTACACTGTATATAAACTGTTTAACCATATATATAATTGACATAACAATTTTATTTCTTTTCCCCCACAAATCCACTTTGAACTTGGTCTGTTCTGTCCGCTATTTTACGAACTAAAGCTGACCTTGGAAAGTCATCTGATTGGTTTGTTAATATTGGTTAACAACAAAAATTATGAAAATAAGTTAAATTAAATAAGTTAAATTGTACTGGCAAAGGAGTAATGAGCATGACAAATTGATATTTGCCCTCTGCATTTGACCCATCCTGTAATGCTACTAGGGCCTCTGTCAGGAGCAGTGGACAGTGGCCAGAGAGCCATCTCCAGATGCTGATGCTCAGACTAGATTTTTTACCATTGTACATGCTTTTTAGTGGTAGGGGAAAGGGTCTGTTCAGAGCAGGATTCGAACCCAGAACCTTCTTTCTATGAAGCAATAGTGCTATCCACTCCGCCACTGTGCCGCTCATTAAATAAATAATAACTGTCACAAACTGATGGCAGTAGAGGTAGCTGTCCAATATAGTCTGACACATGAGATAAAGCTGGTGTTGCTAACTTTGAAGCCACCACAACATTAATTCTGTAATCAAATCCATGTCACTCGGTACTTACTCGCAAAACACATGCTTGTATTTTTGGCTTTCTTTCTTCATGTATTAATTGCTCATAAACAGATATATGGTATGGAGCACAAATTAGTTTTGGTTTTGTTCACAAAACTTTACATAACCAATTTGTTTGTCTGTTGGGACAAAGATAATGTAGTTATGAAACATAATAAAGTTAGATACTCATGCTTTACAACACAAGATGGAAAATGGTCATTTTCAACAAGTTGCTTAAACATCGTATTGTTAGTTATTTCTTGATAACTTCCAATCGATTTTCATGAATGAGGAAACAATTAAGTTGTAAATGGTTGTAAGTGCCAGTTTAGTCTAGCCTTGGTACTGATTGAGTTTATTGCTACCACATACAGACTAAATGTTAATGCGTCCAAATGTTATCTTCTACTTTGCTCTAATCCTGGCTTAGACCTGATTTATCCCTGATGACCCCGTTCTTTATTTGGAGAACAATCGATGTTTGATCAAACTGGGATGTACAAGCACTCTTATTCAACCGGCAGCAGATTCAGTGTCAGAGAAAACAAATGCAAGCACTTTAGCTACAAAACACCAGAAAAAACAATTGCTGTTTATCAAAGGCTTTGTGTCTGGGAGAAAAATTATCAAATAAAGTTAGTTGTTCATCAAATAGAGATTCAGCAAAGCCTTCTTCTTCTTAGGCAGGGCAGGGAAACAGCTATCAAATTAATATTAGCAATAAAGACTATTAAAAAATATACTATTTCAAATGTGTGCATTGCCAAATCAGAATCATTTTTTTCAGAAATAGCTCAATGAAGCCCGATAGGGAAGTGATCCTGGACAAACTTTTGCTCAAACTATCTCTGGCTACTATTGACTCACATTGAAAAGTAAACTCCTCTAGCTCAGTAACCGTTTGAGACTGATTGTGCACCGAGGACATAGGGCTCAATGTGACAGATTGTCATTGTTGGAAAAAGTTTATTCTCATGTCTGAAATGACAAAGTACCTGTGATAAACAACTCAGAGCGTGATGCTACGTCACCGTGCGGGCGGGGGGAGGCGGGCTCACAGACAGAGGAGCAGACTGATCTCAGAATCAGCCTGTTTGAGTTGAGGTGACATCACCTCTATACAAGAGATTGCTATAATCTCACAAGTTTTGAGTGTTGTATGGTGTATCACACACATTATTATCACACATGTGCATAGGATGGACTGTGAAACATGAAGAAAAGCGTAATCTAGGACCTTTAACAAAACATGCACAGGCATAACGTAAAGCATAGCGTTCATAAAGGCTTGTGTGACGTCACTCACATGGCCTCGTCCTTGGAGCAGTAGAGCAGGATGACCGGACTCTGGATTCTCTTTAGCGCGATGTGCGATTTAGAGTTTGGGTCGCCGTCCACAGCGTCCAGGGTGACCACGCTCTGCAGGTCCCAGCGGACGAAACTGAAACGTACATAAATGTTTAAAAGAGCTACAATGGACACTTTGACTTGGTAAACATTGAACACATAGATTTGGTTTATTTTTTTTAGGAATAAGATGCACTGAATACTGTTTATTTTTAATTATCATGTTTGTGAAAATAAAAACAGGGGTCCCACCAAGTTTACCGAAAAGTAAACTTTTTCAGCTTACTGAAGATTTAGCGTCTCACAGCACTATAAACTGACGTAGCAGACCCCTGCCCCTGGAGCCATGCCTGGAGCATCAGAATGCATCGCATCATTGGCAAAAAAGTCTCACGTGAATTAGTCTAGTGCAGGGGTGCTCAATACGTCGATCGCGATCTACCAGTCGATCGCAAAGGTAGTATTGGTAGATCGCATTAAATAAATGAAAAAATTACACATTCTAAACAAATATATACAAAAAACTCCGGGCAAAGTGGAGATTTTTGAAAACTCCGTTAATGCATTTGTGTGTAGACAGAGATAACCGGAGTTTTGCGTTCTCGCACGCCACAGTACCCCCCTAAATTTCTCTGATCACTGAAGCATGGATCATACTACCTTAAAAACTGTTCGCTGTGAGATGCTCGCAGCAGCAAACATCCTCCACATCAGAGGGCAGCAAAGTGATCGCGGGGACTCACGCTTGAAAACAACTAAACCAGGACTAAACCAGGACTAAACCAGGGCTAAACCAGGGCTAAATCAGGGCTGAGGACGGGGTCAGTGCTTGTAAACATACGTCTTTACTCTGAGTGTCTTCTATGACTGTAAAAGTGCCGTTACCGGCGTCTGCATCAAAGCTCCGCCCACTTCTGTGTTTTTCCCCAACGCAGGGCAGGACGTAAGAGACGCACATGTTTGGAATGTTACGAATGTGATTGATAACGCAGATGTGTGGATGCAAATTATTTTATAAACTGAGGAGGGGAAATATTTGGATTTAAAAAAAATAGGCATGGCACATGGACATGGCACCACAGTCAAATGACATCTGTGTTTTACTCAGTAATGTTTTACTGACACTTAGGTGACTGCACATGCGCAAACAACCGCGCTCAGTGCAGGAAAGCTAAACCACGACAAACTTGTCAGCGAGTTACCACCAATTTTCCGGACTATGCATCCCTGGCCGATTCAATTCAGTGCAAGTCATCAGAGTAAACTCGGGTAATGACAAAAAATGTACATAGGTAATTGTGTTGTGTTGTGCTATATTGGCTCATGCGGTTTTGCATGTACATAAACATACATTGTAGGTATAAAGAATATTTTTTGAAATAAAGATATGATTTGCATTTTTGTAGTAGGTAGATCATTTTGACTTGATCCTTTTATAAGTAGCTCGCATGCTGAAAAAGTGTGAGCACCCCTGGTCTAGTGGATCTGGGCCCTGGCAAAATGTGTTTTTTAGTATCTAGTCCTGTAAGCTGTTAGTTCAAGTATATCAGGCCTACTGAGACTGTGGATATGCTATGACATGAAATGGGTAGGACAAGTGCTTGTGAATACAGATAGGTCATAGACAAAGCTGTTAACATAGTTCCTAGGGTTGCAGGAAATACACAATAATAGATGGTAAATGGACCATAATATAGAAGAGTGAGAATTCTGTCCTGTTAGTCTCTGAACTAGGGCTCGCCAATCTGAGAAGATGATTCCAGATTTGTCGCCATATTGACAGATTTTCATTTCTGAATTGACTTTTTTTTAATACATTATGTTTTAATTGCCACACTTTATTACCCTTGCATAAGATTTGAGCTAATCATAGTGAACAGCAAGAACAGAGTCTGTATGGAGTGAGTGAACCAGTCATTTCTCCTGCACTGTTACTGCCACAGGATTAGTAGCTATAGATTTTGCTACAGGCATCGATAATCTCAAACTATCAAACTTTATATTGCAATATTTAAAATTTTGGTTAAAAGACTTCCATTTTGTGTAATACAGTATGTGTCTTTACCGCCTTGTGATATCCACAGAAGCATTGCACTCCCCAAAGCAATCTGACTTTTCTATAGGTGTGCAGTAAAATAACGGTGGGATAATGCCTTGTTTGTTTTTCTATTAGCCGACTGAGTGCGCCAAAATCTTCTCACACATCAGGAATCGTGATGGATGTGAGCCGGGTCGCGGCAGGGAGCAGAAAACCTATTTAAAGAAGAATGCCATATCAGACCACGCGCTGAGGGATAGAGGTAGAGCCCAAACCTCATTGCTCCAAATATCACCCGGCAACGCTAATTACAGCTGCGAGGTGCTGTTTGCAAAGGCCGCGGGGAATGCAGGAAATCTATACCTTCTGTTGCGCTCACCACTCAACTCTGCAGCCCAGAACTTTGTGATAAATGTCAGCCTCATTATTGTGTTATTGAATAAAACATTTATATCCAAATTGCTCGGCTTCAAACTGCCTTGCAAACTCTGCTAGTCTGCCTTAACTCGCGTGCAAAGGCAGACTAGCAAGACAACGGCTAAACCGATCCTGCTCCAAAAATATAAACAGTCATAATCTTGCTTAGGTCCTAACATTTATAAAACTTTATCCAACTCAAGTTGGCGCTCGGACAAATTGGACTAATTTAAACAGACATATTTAGACTAGGGCTGTCAAAGGATTAAAATGTTTAATCGAGTTAATTACAGCTTAAACATTAATTCATCGTAATTGATCGGCAAAATTATGCCATATTTCTCTGTAAATGGTTGTTTGAATAGGATAAATGACAACAGAGTATACATATATACTGTATTTGTTTATTATAACAACAATACATCCACATAAAATGGCATTAACATTCTGTCTTTCTGTATGTAGCGGTGTGGTCTACTGTCTACTATTTTTATTATTAATTTAGCAGAGGTGAGCAGCGTATAAAAGGGGCTGATGTTGTCAGACCCACCCTTGCTCACCCCTGACGTCAACAGGCATGGCAGCGCGCTGTGCCGGAGGTGCTGTCTCCACTGCTGGATCCTCTGGATCATGTGCTTTTGACGCGATTGCTTGCGTGTGGTTTGGCGCATCGATCGGTCCTGGTGCAAACATGCTTTCATATACACGGTAAGCCATCATATATGATGTCGTTTGCGCACCTTGTATTGTGTACAAACAGACTTATTGTTTACAGTTGGTGAGCGTCCGGGAGGCCTGGGGGTCTTTCCACTTGCGTGATGAGATGCGTAAAGTAAAAGAATGAATGTAAGTTGTGATAGCGTAGTGGTGGAAGGGTGAGCGGGTTATGGAGAGCACTGAACTAATGCTTTCAGGATCAGCACGAGCCTCTTCCTCACCCCTTCATGTTCCATGCCTGTGATGTGTGTGGACCAACAATATGCATGGATCAAAGAATGTGCCTGGCATAACGCCATGTCTGACGTAGAAACTTATTTTAAATTAGACTTTACAAACTCAAATGATAAAAAATATGTTTTCTATAAGTTTATGTCTCTGTCCTCAATGTCCTCCGAACTTGTGTCCTTTTATGTGCTGGGGGAATTGGGTTTCCCTATACCTTGCAAAAACAATAGGGTGGCAGTGCAATAGGTGTCCGAGGTAGTGAATGAGAGTGTCTAGTAGTAGTAAGATGTGCATCAGCCCCTCGATGTATTAAAAGTTGTATTAAAAGTTAACTAAAAGTTGAGCTCATTGATTCAGCTTGTGAATGAATTCAGGCCATATAAGGTGCTGAGTAGAAACTTTGGGTGACGCTCGTTCTCCTGCAACGAGTGGCAGTGCTGTTACGGACAGGCTGCGTCCTCTAGCGTCTGGAGAGCAGGTAAACATGTTAGCGTGTTAGCATAAAGTGGCTATACCCCCTCTGGCTGTAACTCCAGAGAAGAGGGAACCAAAGGACGAATCAAGCCCGAGTGAACATAGCTAGCTTGCATCGTATCCTCTGGAGAGACCTGCAGGAGCGGACCGCCTCGGATTATATTTGGACATGAAACTGGCGGTAATCATTCAGTTATATATTTTGTTAGTGCGTTGCTTTTGTATTATTTCGTCGGTGATTGCTGTACAGCTTATAAGAAGTTGTGCTAATGCTAACTGATGCCTGTCGGATTGCTACTAAAACTACATGGCTCGTGGGAGGAGAGCGTAGAGGAGAGTAGGAGGGTTTCTTAAAATGAGAAACCTGTGAGCGGCACTTCTGAGTGTTATTATGGGATGCATGGGCAGGTCATTCGGCACATGCGTCAATGTGTTTTGTTTTTTTAAGCAATTAATGAAAAAGACACCCCTAATTGAAACTTTTTTTTTTAATCAATAAAATAGAATTTAGCAAAACAAATCTTTCAATTCTACAAGGACATACTGTATATTCACTTAACCTGGTTGCCATTGACATATGTCCTCCTACCTGTGGTCCACGGTGACGCGCAGGGTGCTGATGAAGTCCTGGTACCCGGGGAACTTGGAGGTGACGATGGAGAAGACGTGCCAGTCGTACTCCTCCATGATGGCCAGCATGAGCAGAGCCTCCTGCTGCAGCGCCGCCCCGAACTGGAAGAATGTGGACTTGTCACCCTGGAAGACACACAGAGCACAGTGGTCAGGGCGCGGAAGGAAAGACCCAAGGACTTAGGCAATAGTTTGTAAGGGATTCACATGATGCAAACTGTGAGTATATTCAGAAACTGTGTAATGACTAACACATTTCCAAGCAATTCGTTACATAGCTACTTTGAAAATATCCATAGGTCCCTGGCTCTAAAAACAGTCACCTTCACTCAGCCAATCAGCTCTCAGCATGAAGGGCTGAGAGATGATTGGATGTTGGCAGCATGACTAGATCTTCTATAAAAAGCTTCCTGCTCGTCCAAATCACTGTGCAATTCTCAATTCCTTATCCGATCAAATAAATGTTTTCACCATATGCCAAGGCAATGCAATCCATAGTGGTACAAAACCCAATGAGGTACGGTTGGAAATACATATCTATTTGTATAAAAGGTTTCTCACTTTCTCCCACTGGATTTTAGAGTTTTTCCTTGCCGATGCAGGAGGATCTGTTAGTCTGTTTGTGGTCTAACAAGGACTGTGGTGATGATCCAGGACACTAACATTCTACAACATGTATGGACATTGGTCAACTCCACCTATGGATCAATACTAAGGTAACAAAGTATTGTTTATTAATATAGCACATTTTACAAACCAAGGTCACCCAAAGCGCAGATATTGTTCCAATCACTCCATATACGGTAATGATGGAAGCGAGTCATCAAAGCTCCCAATCAATGCCATCCATTCATCCATCCATTTTCTACCCCTTAATCCATTTCTGGGTCGGGGGGGTGGCAGTCAGAGCTGCCACCCAAGTCACAGAACACCACCCCATCCATTCAATCGCTCATTAATATTCACACACAGGGAGAACATGCAAACTCCACTCAGAAAGGCCATGTTCCAACCAAGATTCGAACCCAGGACCTTGCTGAGAAGCGAGAGTCCTATCCACTCAGCCACCATGTGTTTGAACTGTTTGATTCTCTGATCTGTGTTGGTGAGTTCAACGGTTTTGTTAAGTCCGCTGAGATAACTACTGTTGTGATTTAGGGCTATACAAGAATAAATTGAAATGAATTGAATTGTAAATATATAAAAAAAAATTCAAATGGCAAATTTTACTGAATCATTTGACTAGTGAATGTTAAATTGGTACCAGGCATGAAGTCATACATATCCAAAAACCTTTCAAAATATTGCGTGCTTAAATAGAGTTCCTAAACAATATGATGGAAAACTAAAAGCACAGATTTCACAGAATGTTGATCTGGTACATTCTTAAGGAGAAAGTTTAAACACACAACAGTTCCATATCCAGAACAATGTCAAATACATCTTATTTCTCAGTCATTCCTGCACCAGAGTCCTGAGCTGTGTCCCTGAGAGAGACCCACAGCCTGCAGAGTGGTAATTACAGTGTCCGTGACAAGAGGACAGGCCAGGGTCCACCATGGGGCCCCATCTTCAGAGGAGGCCTGACCTTCATCAGGGTGGGCAGTGCATCGGTTGGGGTCTGCACAGGGGAGAGGCCAGCCGTCATCATTTTTGACCTGGTCAGCCTGTGCTTAAGCCCGAGGCCACTCCATCCAACCTTCAGATATTCAAAAGACTATGAATCATCTTCCAAAGATTTTCTACAACAAATATTGTAATCTGTCTTATGCTTTAACTTGAGAAACTATGAATATGGCATGTTATAAATGTTTGCCCCTTCAATATCAGATAGTCACGTGGACAATGTCTGAAAGTCCTCAATTGGGCTAATCTAATGCATTGGTTGTTAGACTGTAAATATTAACATACGTTGTCACGGCTATCTCCGCCGTTGAAACTAAAGCGCCACCACTTACTCTGTCTATGGGCAGTTAAAATGGTCACGGGGCCTGGAAAATGTAAAAAAACGCATTTATGCATGGGTCTGCAGGCACGAGCCCAACTCATTTACAGGTGCCTTCAAAACTCCAAAGCGGCTAAGCTACACTGGTCCAAAATAATACACTCCCCTCAGCATTGACACACATCTGGAACGTAGCTTTGAGCCAAAAGACTACTTTTGGACCATCCTGTAAAGGTGTTTTCGAGAGGTAAGATGCTATACATTAGCATTGGCTAATTCTTATTCTGGGTCCACCCCCATCGGCCCGTGGTGGTATTGCAAGCATGTCAGCGCACGTCATTATAGACATTTTTGAGCCAGGACCCGCCCCCACTGACTTTGAGGGGGCGGGTCCTGAATTTAAGACATGATATTGAATGAATAAATTTTGAGTCATTACATCACCACTAACTATCAAATAATGATATTACTGGACAACTCTATGGGATAGATTTCTTGTTGTATTGGAACTTTCCCTCCAACTTTAATAGCAGGAATCTATACAGCTGGTACACAAGCTCAGCCGGAGAACAAGGCACATTGTGTTGACAGTAGCTAACCTTTTAGCCAGCTCTCTGTGGGATAGAAGAGTATACTGTATCTGTAAGTGTGTCAAGTGCTGCCCGTGTGTGTGTCTGTGTGTGTGTGTGCGTGCATGTGTTTGGACTGTAGTTTCAGTGGGAGGAAAACATACACTGAAATATATGTATTAACCTCACCCTGTGCCAGAGTGGATTCGCACAAAGGATTTCAGCAGTTGTGTACTCAGAAACATGTGGCAGACACAACACAGCAGAGGAACTGCTTTATGATGGACAGGTAAATTGATCCTTTTAACTAGTATGATCTCATCCTCAAACAACCTACAAGATAGACAGAATTTTTCAAATTCTCCAATGTTCTTTATTTTGGGGTTTTACAAGTTGTGAGTCATAATTATCAACAGGCTTGATAATTCTCACTTTGCCTACAATGTGTATTTTTCCCACGAGGAAAAGTTCAGGTGGCCATCAGCAGAAATAGAAATCATCATAGAAATCAAACCATGTTACCAAACAGAATAGTAAAATCTAATCCCACTGTATTATACAGATAAAACCCAGGATTAACCCATCTTAAAGTAGTCATCATCAGTATTTGTAGCAGATCAGATTTTTAATACCTCTACTCCTAAATGAATTCCCCGGGTCTCCAAGAAGGCCCGCCCATTCAAGTCAACATCCTGTGCTCATTGATCCACGCTTGATATTGGCTGTTCCAAAAATAAGTGTAAGACAAGCATTCTGGATTTCTTTCTTGTCCTCTGTTGACATGTGCAGTGGGTGGACACTTGTCTCCACTTTGGACAATAACCAACATGGAAATAGCGAGTATGTTGAACAAACATGTGGATTTATAGAAAGAAAATGGATATAAAACAAAGTTCATGATGACAAAGAAGGTACAAAATCTGACCATTGTAATGTAGTTTTCCTAACGAGGCATTTTCACATTGTGGTCCATGGGAACATTTCTTGTGAAGCCAGTGACGAGCCTGCAGTATAGCGGGTGGTCTTTGAGCATGCACCGCAGAGGGAGTTGGAGCACCTAACTTTGCAATAAACTATGTAATAAAATCCATGTAATTAGTTATGACCTATCACTTGTTTCCACATACCTCGGTCACTTTGGATTAGCTTCTAAAATGAAGAAGAGAGTACCAGCCCTTGGTCCGCCGATCAGTTATCAGTATGTAAAACGACAACATTTGTTCACCATGTTACTAAAACAAGACTCTTTCTTTTGGAATAAACAATATGTATTTATGAAACAAAAAAATTAATACTCCAGCTTTCAGCGAGCAATACTCTATCCACATAATATGGATCCATATCCAAAATCGGTGCAACAACATAAAAAGAGAAAATGGTAATGAAAGATTATAAAAAGACATTTGGGAACTCTTACGACCCTAAATGAGCAATCATTCATCCTTGAGATCATCTTACTTTTGAAAATGCCGTGTCCCAACTGCTGTGTAACTCCGACTGCTTACTTTGCACAGAAATTTTTTATGTTTTGTTTGGGAGTTGATTTGTAATGAAACAAAAATGCAATTACAGCAGATCCGCGTATGAGGCAATAAGAGCAGTCAGATAGCAATAACAGCTAACGTATTATTATGTGCAAGTCATCAATGGACTATCAGAGAGCATTGAGCTATTGTCAAAGTGTTGATTGGATTCAAGTCATTCAGTAAGCCTCATTAATACAGTCCAAGGTGTGATATACATGTATACTGCCAGTGTTGTACTGTATATGGGGTATGTGCAATTTAAAGGCTGGTAGGGGACCACACATTTTTTTTACAGGAAAATAGGAACCAAAGCTCCTCTCTAAAGTTTACAGTCATAAACATAAATCTCTATGTATTATTTATTAACTTTTACAAAGAGTTTATACAGGTAACAGGCAACTGGAGTGAGAGCAAAAGATACATGATGTTGTCATTGTTTTAAAAATAGAAAAAGTGAAAAGTGGGGCATACACAAGTATTCATAGAGCTTGGGCCTGAATTAAATTAATTGTCTTAAAAACATTCCTAATGACTACTGAATGGCAACTTATGATTGGCTCAAATGAATAAATAGAGGTAATTAGGTTATACAAATCTCACAGAGTACGGTTCAATCCATTATTCGGAAGCTTTCGAGGGAGAATAGTATTGAGCAATTGTAAGTAGGGATGCACTAATACCCACACTGGTATCAGATTGATACCATAGGCTTGTACTTGTACTCGTACCATAGGACCCGATGCCGGAACCGATACCCACATTTTTTATTTACATTGGTGTCATGACAGCAGACAGCTGTACGGCACATGTTGCCATGGCGATTTCCCAAAGACGGCAGCTAGAAAGCAAGCTAGCGGCACGCGGACAGCCGTATGACGCCTATCTCCGCCGTTCTAACTAATGGGCCGAAAATTGGGCTCTTATGAAGTGATTCAAAGTGGCCGCGGGGGCTGGAAAATGTGAAAAAACGCATCTGCGCATGCGTCAGCTGGCAAGAGCCCCATTTATTTAAACAAGTGACTTCAAAAATTCACAGTGAGTAAACTAGAGTGTCCAAAAAAATTCACTCCCCTCTGCATTGACACACATGTGGAACGGAGCTTTGGGCCAAGAGCCAACTTTTGGACTATCCTGTTGCACTGTTGCACTGAGCCAAAGCAATTTCCAAGTCTGTGACCTCCTGTTACTTACGTACGTGGCAATAAAATGATTCTGATTCTGATTAAAGGTGTTTTCGAGAGGTGAGAACATGCTAATTGTTAGCATTGGCTACCCGCCCCCACTGAGTGGGCCGTACAACCGACCACACAAAAAGAGTGGACCATTTTATTAAGTAAGTTCTCTCCAAACGTCTAAATGTAGCTAACTTCTAGCATCCAGGTGGCGTTAGCTGCCGTATTGCCACCCAGGCACACGGTTAAAGCCCCGAAAAACTATAAACAACAACGTCACTAAAAGATCCTCCTATTGAGGCCATGTCCACAGGAAGCTAATCTCAAAAGAAATACTGACCCGAGTGATGTTCAGAACGGACACTCATGTGAGAACTTACCAACCGGGTGCACCATGGTAAGATTATGGTGGTGCTAATGGTAAATGCTAAACCAAAATGTAGAAATTGGATCAGTTACATTACACTAACTAGATGAGATATGCATACATTGTCCAAGAAGAATTGTTTAAATCCCTTTTTTACTGCTTCAGAATAGTAAGTAAGTAAGTAGTAAGTAATCTTTTATTTATATACCGCCTTTTCACTGCACATCGGAGTCTCAAAGCAGTTCACAAGTGCGATTTTTGGGAGTGGGGGTGCCAGTACAGGAGGCACATGCCAGACCTATTGTACATATTTTTAGTGGTAGGGGAAACCGGAGCACCCGGAGGAAACCTACGCAGACACGGGGAGAACATGCAAACTCCACTCAGAAAGGCCCTGGTCCAACCGGGATTCAAACCCAGGACCTTCTTGCTGAGAGGCGAGAGTGCTATCCACTCAGCCACCGTGCCGCTGAGAATAATAAATCACAAAATACTAAAATTGTATATATTTTGAAAACAACACACCTCTAGTTGCCTATCTCTTTGCCTCTATCCTAGCCTCACACACCAGTGCAAAAATGTTCCCGGCCCCTCCTACAGTAAGTTGTGATGCACTCTTAAAGACGGTGTGATGGTTCTTTAAAGGATTCCTCCAGCTCCGTTTGGAGCAGATGGAGCAGAGACCTATAATTGGTACGAGACGCCTTGAGACCAAACTGGGCTCTGACCTACCTGCCGCGCTATACCACAACACCACACACACACAAACCTGCACACACACAGGCTCACACACTTATGTAGGCACATGTGTCTTGTGGGGACTTTTGTAGATTTACATTTAAATATCATATAATTGTATCTGTGTTCATTATCTCTTGACGAAATACAATGACCTTTACTTACGCATATTTTAGAATTTGAAACAATGCTCGTGTATGTAGAAATATGATTTGAAGTAACAGCAGTCGCTTTGTGAAAACAAGGCCACCACCGGCATGGGAATTTTATCCCCTGATGCAAGCCATTGACAACATGTTGGAAAATGTTAAAAAGGGTATAATTGAACAACCGT